TTAATCACCCGGGAAGTTAATTCGTTCGCAACAAATTCTTTTGGAGCGACTGTTAAGGGAAACGAAGTCAGATTTTTAAAAGTAAAATGTGTTGCAAATCGTTTAATATTTTATACAGGGTGTTTGGCCACCCCTGGGGAAAATTTTAATGGGAGATTCTAAAGGCCAAAATAATACCAATTTGTTGATTGAGGCTTCGTTAGAAATTTATTAAAAAATTTCAAATTATTCTGAAAAAATTATTTTTGGTTGCGGAGGTCAATTACAATCATTTTGGGTGAATAGACGTACCCCCGAATTCCTACTCACTTTCGAAAAAAAAATTCGGATAGATGCTGAAATTTTTGGGAAAAAAAAATTTTTCAAATCGTTCTAAAAAAATTATTTCTAGGTTCTGGGGTTAAATATAACCATTTTTGGTGGATAGACATACCCTCGAAATCCTATGCATTTTCAAGAAAAAAATTCAGAAAAGTGGACAAATTTTTGGGTGAAAAAAAAATTTCAAATCGTTTTGGAAAAATTATTTTCGGTTGCGGGGGTCAATTACAATCATTTTTGGTGAATAGACATATCCCCGAATTCGTATCCACTTTCGAGAAAAAAATTCGGATAGATGCTGAAATTTTTGGGAAAAAAAATTTTTCAAATCCTTCTAAAAAAATTATTTTTAGGTTCTGGGGTAAAATACAAACATTTTTTATGGATACACATACCCCCGAATTCCTACGCACTTTCGAGAAAAAAATTCAGAAAGGTGGACAAATTTTTCGGCGAAAAAGAAAATTTCAAATCGTTTTGGAAAAATTATTTTCGGTTGCGGAGGTCAATTACAATCATTTTTGGTGAATAGACATATCCCCGAAATCGTATCCACTTTCGAGAAAAAAATTCGGATAGATGCTGAAATTTTTGGGAAAAAAAAATTTTTCAAATCGTTCTAAAAAAATTATTTCTAGGTTCTGGGGTTAAATATAACCATTTTTGGTGGATAGACATACCTCCTATATCCTACGCACTTTCGAGAAAAAAATTCAGAAAGATGGATAAATTTTTGGGTGAAAAAAAAAATTTCAAATCGTTTTGGAAAAATTATTTTCGGTCGTGGGGATCAATTACAATCATTTTTGGTGAATAGACATACCCTCGAAATCCTGCGCATTTTCAAGAAAAAAATTCAATACCATTAAAATTTTTTCCCAGAGATATTAATATTAATATTTTAAGAATGCCATAAGATTGCAAGTACACCATCGAAAAACTGAATATTTCTGTTTTCGAGATTCAAATTTGAACAAACGTCGAATGCATTTTTATACTTGAAAAACATGCAGTGAACGTGTTAGAATATCTCGAAGAAAAGAATAAGTTTGGGTGAGAATTAATATCTTTGGTTTATAAACACGCAGGAAACAATATACACGATAGGTTCGATTGATTTCGTTTCGACTATCGATGCGCGCGTATTTCGCAAGCAGCTTTTCGATATTATTCGTATTACTGTTCGATTTCACGCGGAATAATGGGGAATAACGCTGAACGTTAAGCACAAGTGTGTTGCTCGTTTAACGTCGCTGCGAGCGTACTCCAGTTTCGTTGACGTTTTGTTCGCCATTTGCTGTTCAACTCGATTATAGTTGCTCGCTCTGCTGTGTTCTTGCGTATCCGTGGTTGCTCCACAAAAGCTGTTTGCGCGGAAAGTTTACCGTGCCGCGGCCCAACTTTTATCTATAGCTGTTCCCAGTCGAACAGTGTGATACGATGTCACCTAAATCCTTGGAAACTTCTAGTTCCACAGGGGGGGTCCGTCGTAATGGTCGATTTTTCAGACACTCTCTGTTATAAAGCACCAACGAATTACGTTAACGTTCGACTTCCGCGTTGATATGGTACACTTTACCGCGTTTAGAGTCTTCGTTACGCAGCATATGTTTGTAACAAAAACGCGAACGGACTTATTACACAACTTGGTATACAAGTAAAGTTATAGAGTTAGAAAAATAATACAAATTATGATTTTTGAAAGAAAAAAATCATTTTTCGTATCTATTCGGTTAACGAGTCTGATTTGTTACAAGTTATTGATGCCAAGTTTCTACATTCATAAGATATTCGTAAAACAGATCTATTCTTTTTCGTGGCCATTCCTTGCACGAATAAATTTAAACAAAATTAAATAGTATATATTAAAATCAACACATTTTTACACTCGCGAGATATTCGTCAAACAAATTTTCTTTCGTGGCCACTGTAAAAACAAATTTAAATAAAATTAAGTAGTACAGTATTATTTTATACTGTTAAGGGGTGATTAGTATGTGTATGTTCAACAATTGAAACAAATAACGATAGAAATCCTTATGGTCGAGTGTGTAAAATTTATTTATTTATTAACATTACAAATTGTGCGTGGTATGGTTTGGGAAACACTGCTACAGGCTCGCAGAGATTCACAGGTTGTCGGTGTCAAATCTATTCAATCCTGGTTGGGCGAAATCGTGTCAGATGACTTAAGTTGTCGGTACCGCGTCGAATGAGTATGGATTATGGTTACACGCTGTGCGTATGAATACGATAGGGATGTGCAGAGATACATGATATTGAGGTTTACCGCTCGTGTGTCCCTTTAGTTCACGTAGTGTCAAAATCGATTTTCTCGAAAACAAAACGTCCTACGAAAACATTTCCCTCCACGTTTATTTCACTACATTTTATTTTAATCGAGGCGTAGATAAATTCATTCATACATCGACTGCATTGGTTGCCTTCGATATTTTTACAAATTATAGTCTACAAATAAAAAATACTCGATAATTGAATGAAATATGGACTTGCTATTTCACAGCATCAAAGTTTATAAGTCATCAAGTTTTATACAGGGTGTTCGGTCATCCCTGGGAAAAATTTTAATGGGAGATTTTGGAGGTCAAAATAGGATGAAAATCAAGAATGCCAATTTGTTGATGGAGGCTTCGTTAAGAAGTTATTAACGTTTAAAGTTCCGCCTGTAGAACGGTAATCATGTTGAGTGAGAATCACTGTCGCCATTCTACAGACGGAATTCTAAACGTTAATAACTCTTTAACAAAGTCTCAATCAACAAATTGGTATTCTTGATTTTCGTCTTATTTTGACCTTCAGAATCTTCCATTAAAATTTTTCCCAAGGGTGGCCAAACACCCTGTATATTAAAATCAACACTTTCTATATTTATGAGTTAATCGTAAAATAAATTTATCTTTTCTCGTGGCCATTCTTTCTAAAACCAAAAATTTAAACAAAATTAAATAGTATACGTTTAAAAAATTACATTAAATCTTACGTTATGGGGTTAAAAAGGAAGCTTTAGTTTTAAATCGTATAAAATTTGGCACGACCACGGTGAGATTAAATAGTACACGTTTGAAAAATGATTAGAAATTAAATTGTACGTCATGGGGTTAGAAAGGAAACTTTAACGCTCGTTACACGGGAATCCCCCTCCTCTTAAATCGTTCAAAAGTTGGCACGAACACGTGGGACGACCTAATACCGCGGTGAAAGGATCGAAAATGATTCACACGTTCTCGGTGAAACTGACGATTCGAATCGAGGCTTCGTTTCGTTCCGGACGGTCTCGAGCACAGGAAGACACCATAGAGGATCTGGTGGGCGCGCAAAAAACGCTTTATGGGGCTAGCGGGCATGTGGCGAAACCCATGCAGGTATTTCCTTGGGTTTCGGGGGCCCTCTTTTCCGTCCGCGCGGCGAAAGGGAGGGTTCACGGTCCTCGCGAGACCATTCGATGTGGGCGTGCGCTAATAACTTGAATTAAACTCGTTTCGTCAAGTCGTGCCACGGCCCCGAAACCGTGTATCCTGGCGGCCCGTTGTGCCACCGTCGACGGAAGAGAAGTATTACGCTCGGAATTCTTCTCTGAATCGACCTTCCTGCGAGCTGATTGCGTTATTATAATTCCGTAGACGCGGCCTCGCCGATCGACCGAGATCCCGTTGGACTTTCGATGGTCGATTATCGCGATCGAGTTTGCACAAAGCACTCGGGCGAGTTTCGATACCGACCGCCATCTTGGAGTCGGGCAAATTTTCATTCGCGAGCTACGAATAACACTCCCAGTCTCGTTTAAAGTCGTTAAAAAGATACCTCGTCGATTCTAATTTACAAATAAATTATAAAATTTGATCTATTCTAGCGAAAATATAATTTTCAACGAACAACGAAGGATAGTTTAAATGGCAAATTATAGAAGATCATAATTCCGAGAACAAAAAGTTGAAGCTGTCGTATTATATCTACAAGGTCTACCACTAATTAATATATATTTACATATATTCGACGAGGAATTTTGCTTGGTTTAGTGCTTGAAGTTGTTCTAGACCTCCGTGAATTTTGTCGGATCGAATTAATTAGAATTTTAATGCGCGATGAAGTCACGAGAGGGGAAGATTAATGTTCTTTGCAAGAAAGAATATATTTCTAGTGGACACTTTTAATTTGTTAACGCGTTGCATAGAATCGCGAAAAATTGAAACTGGTAATCATATATTAAGTGATATGTAATAATACATAATTTATTATTTCCAACAGAACCACTCATGGTCTCGCTAAGGGAAATATTTATTTCATTTTAATTTTTTTTTTTTTTGCGTGAGAATGTCGCGAAACTTCTTCGGACCCTAAAAAAATTCTTGCATAAAATTTCTATCTATATTCCCGTTATTTCGTTTACATAATTCATTCATTCTCATTCCCCGACCATAACTTTACATGCTGTTTACCGATTTATCTCGCGGGTGTACGTGGAATTGAAACAGAAAGTTGCGAACGTCTGCTTTAAAAACATCGCGAGGCAGATAGAAATTTTGCAAGAGAAAGATGACTCGGGACTTTTTAAATCTCTTTATTTCATTTTTAAATCGACGAGCATCGCGTGATAAATTCGATGGTCGAATTGTGCCGATCGAACACTCTCGATGACCATTTCTTTTCCGTTGTTGCAGGACTGTTGAAGTGCCATTGCGACATTTGCACGGAGACCAATCACACGTGCGAAACCGATGGCTATTGTTTTGCTAGCACCAGTTTGGAGAATAATGAGATCACATACGCTCGAAGGTAACGTACATGCATGAGTAGAGTTCGCTGTGAGATAGTAATTACAACTGACCAAAAAATTCTTTTCATCGTCGATCCCGCCGTGCCACGCACGGCGCAACGTGGAACTTTTAGAAAATTTTCAGCGTGCAATTTTTGCAAAATATTCCGACGATCGTGTGTTTATCGGGCTCTGCACGATACCATTGATGGGCGTGGAAATTTTTACTTCGATGTTCCTATCTACGAGCACATCGTGCAGTAATTTTCGTAACGCTATATTAACGACGTGCAACGAACAGTAATAAATTTCCATTTTAATACACACGTCCGTGAAACTGTGGCAACGTTTGCTTAACGCGATCGCGTTATCTCGAATAAAAGTAATATCGGTGCGCGATTATCGCACGAGGAAACAAATAATGTATTCCCGCTTCGAGTACACTGTAAGAACCACGTTTCGATTTAATTTCCGCGTTGATTATTAAACGTTACTGGGAATTCATAAATTATCTGCGAAACAATAAAACGACCGACCAACGGGTTCGGCAGCGACATTTATTTCGATAAAAGTCATCGTCGTTACATCATTTTGACGCCGTTTAAAATTACGCGCGATTTATCGAGTCGCGCATAACTCCGGATAGATTGCCCGAATATTTCGAGTAGGTCGATTACAAATGGCTGTTAATGATTATATTGAGTAGCTCGAAAAAGTTTTCCTAATACTAATTTAGGTAAAATCGAAAGCTTTTCTTGTTAACCAAAGTATAACTTAAAAATGTGTATTTTTCGATAGTCAAACAATTTTTTAAATTCGATCACTCTGACGTGTATTTATTTGGAAGCCCTTTTATGTTACAAAACAGTTCGATAAGAGAAATATACACGGCTTCGAGTCGCCAACGTAGTTTTTTTTAGCTCATGACCTTTTCAAGTTACGGACAACTTAAATTTTTTAAACGGATGTACATAATATTTGTTGCATATTTATTAGAGGTCGTCTGCAATCAAAATGATACTTTAAATAATGAGGGGGAAAAATAGCATCGAGATGGTGTATTTTTCGAGCTACTCGACGTATCAGCCGAATGTACGAATACTCGGACAGGACTAATTCCCACCGCTTCGATCGCGTTCACCACGAAAGGAAGTTCAACAGTCACGTTCTGTTACCGATCGATTTCCTCGTTGTAGTTTCCAGGAACGTTTAGCTGCTTATTTTTCAGTTTGGCCCTGGGAGGCATAATTAGCGCCTGTTTCGGGAGTTTCGACGGAAACGAATTATTGTTGTCGGCCAGTGGTCGCGTTGGTAACGCCTTACGACGACGTTTTCAGATTTCTTGGGACTGCGAACGAAACAGATGTCGAGAAACTTTGTGAGAACCGCCTCGATCCCTCTTACAACACTGAATTTGAGTGTCTTTCGTTTTTCTTCTGTTTTCGATAAACGCGTGGGGGTAGCCACAAAATTTGAAACACCACGCAGTGGAAAAAAGTCACGTGGAAATTCACGAGCAGACAATTTCCTCGTTTGTTCGTTGGAATCCTCAGCATTGCGAGATTTTGGTATTGCGATCGTTAATTGATTCCGTTCTCGATGCGACCAACGAAAAGATTCCGATAAAATTGGACAAAGTTCGAAAAGTTATTATCGATGGTAACGAAGGATATAAGCGAGAAAGATAGTAATAATCACGAACTTCGATTCTACAAACGACGAAACTTTCCTTTCCATTAAAGAGTACCCCGTCTAACAGTAGCGTTCCAGTCGATATCAAGTTGCTTTCGACGTTATTAACGAAACGAAATGTAAAAAAATAGAAATTATAGTTTTTGGTCGAGTCGATGAAAGTTGTAGAATTTGAAGTTCGTGGAGGCTACAGATTCGCTGGATTTAAAGTTGTTTTAGATATGTTGAATTCTTTTCAAAATTTTTGGTATCGTTTTCGAGTGCTTTTCAATGACTGGTGTTCGGAGCACACATAAGAAGCCACGATACGTTACGCGGTTTCGAAATCGACCGAGACGATATGCGACAGTCTGAGGTCGCAGACGTGCGGACGGGGCCTAAATGTTTAATGCGCCAGACGGATAATTTGGATAATTCAGCCGGAGATCGTATCGAAAATAGCACGACCGAGATTATTTGATTGGTCGAGACGTGAAAGCGGTACGAGATAATTTCCTGCTATCGAATGATTACGAAGTGATGCGATTAAACCGCGAATCGCGTTCAATTTTTACTCTGCCTTCGTTTTTCTCATACCGCGTCTTTAAATATTTATTTCTGAATTTATTATGGCCAGCGTTATTCTATTTCAGTTCCGGTAGATCGGCGCTAAAATGTTCGTTTTCGAAAGAATAAGTCCAACAAATTTTATCTTTCTTCTGTTTTTTGATTTTTGGCAAAAATTTTGTTAGAAATTTTATTTCTGGCGAATCAGTGATTGACGGAAATTTTCAACAGATATTAAATGCAATACAATAATCATACGAGTTTTGCAATTGCGTAATATTTTAGAGAAAAGATGGCCTCTACACTTGTACAAATAATTTTTAGATACAAGTTCAAAAAACAGGAATTATTGGGATTTTTGTGGACTCTAACAAATTTCGAAGTTCTGTCATAGCATAATACAAAGATTTGTAGATACTTTAACACCTTGGAAGCAAATATTTGTGTTCTTTACGTGTTAAGTGCTTCGATGTTGGCTATATCCTATAAGAGAAAGAAGTACAATCTTCTACGAGTTTTAACTTGGATTCATCGATAGTTGAAACATTAATTAACCTTTGTTTAGAATCCTAGAGAAATACAATCTAAAATCTAGTAAGTACGTCCAAACAATGTACAGAGTCTAAAGAGAGACTATCAAAGAGATTAAAAGATCAAGTTTTTGTAACTTCAAAGAACCCTGAAGTGGTAGAATCAGGAAAATATACGATTTAAACCTTTTTAGGCTAATTTGTCCCTTGTTCGAAACAGTGTCGTTTAACATACGATCTAATGAACAGTGTAGTAGATTCGAAACGCTAACAGTTGTAGCTATTTGTGTTTCCCAAATTTGTACATTTCGTTTCTAGTTCAGTGCCACGGTGGTTATTAATTAGACAGTAATTTGTACATTTAGCCCTCATGGTTTTCGGATCAGTGCGCTTTATGAGTTTACAACTTGCGGGGACCAGCTGTAGAGACATGCGGAATTTCTGCGAGTGGCACTCGAGGAACGGTCTTGTATCCGAGGGTGCTCGTTAGTCGAGGACGGTCACTTTGCTAGAACCGATCAAATGCTTCGGTCAATTAAATATCGTGACCATTGGGGCCTCTCTGAACCAATAATTTCAAAATTTATCCGCGTCTTTCGCGTCCAAGCAATCGTATTAAGAGAGAAATTACGGTTTCAATGTTTAAAACAAATTCACTCGAAAGAGAAACATCGAAGGAAACGATCCAGAAACTGATAGAATCCTTGCAAGACAACGTTAGCCACCATCGAAGCAAAACGAATGTATATTAAATATCAGTTACAACGTAAACTTGGATAATCGTAAGATTTTTGCTATGATTGTAAATGTACAAATATTTTTTTTGCCTGATGAATTCTTAGACTGCGGATGTTTATGCAGTTATGGGAAATTTTAATTCTCAAAGACCTACAGAAATAGTTGAAGTAAGATACGAATTATTAGAGTCAGATGCCCTAATGTGGAATACTTTTATTTAACTTTTATAAAAACTTGAATATTATGAATTTGTAGGAAATTGTATGCTCTTTTGATCGGTGTCAGTCAAATTTAAAATGTAATAACGGGGTAGGAAGTGTTTACTTTTTCTGTTGAGGTCCTCATGTTCCATATTAGGCTCATAGTGCTTGTAATATTTGAAGAAATAATCGAGCTAACACAAAGCTAATGCACTTACCTTATTATAGTATACAGGGTGTTCGGCCACCTCTAGCAAAAATTTTAATGAGCGATAGTAGAGGCCAAAATAAGACGAAAATCAAGAATACTAATTTGTTGATGGAAGCTTCGTTAAAAAGTTATTAACAATTAAATTCAAAAATTTCAAATCGTTCTGGAAAAATTATTTTCGGTTGCGGGGGTCAACTACAATCATTTTTGGTGAGTACACATACCTCCGAAATCCTATCTACTTTCGAGAAAAAAAATCGAGTAGGTGCTGAAATTTTTCGGCGAAAAAAAATTTTTCAAATCGTTTTAAAAAAATTATTTTCGGTTGCGGGGATCAATTACAATCATTTTTTATCATTACACATACCTCCGAAATCGTACGCACTTTCGAGAAAAAAATTCCTTACTGAAAATCCAATTAGGTGCCTAAATTTTTCAACGGAGAAAAAAAATTGCAAATCGTTGTGGAAAAATTATTTTCGGTTGCGGGGGTCAATTACAATCAGTTTTTGTCATTAGACATACCCACGAAATCCTGCGCACTTTCGAGAAAAAAAATAGAGAAGGTGTGAAATTATTCGAGAAAATTAAAAAATTGCAAATCGTTGTGGAAAAATTATTTTCGGTTGTAGGGTTCAATTACAGTCATTTTTGGTGAATAGACATACCCCCGAAATCTTGCGCATTTTCGAGAAAAAAATTCAGTAAGAGCGGCACTTTAAACGTTAATAACTTTTTAACGAAGCTTCCATCAACAAATTAGTATTCTTGATTTTCGTCTTATTTTGGCCTCTACTATCGCTCATTAAAATTTTTGCTAGAGGTGGCCGAACACCCTGTATAATATTAGGTGAAAGATCACCTTGCAAAAATTTAGGCTACTATATTTTTTTGAACATTCTTTCACGAACGTTGCTTTGAAATTCGAGCATGTGCACGCTAGTTGCAATAAATGACAATCCTGATCGATGGAAAATCAAATTAGAAATGTATTCCATATTTAGGGATTGAGACAACCCCCTACAAAGCTCCCATTTCTAATAAAAATATGAATTTGCATAAAGATCCGCAGTCTAATCACTAAAAATTCTTCGTACACGAGT